CCTTCCTTCCTTCCTTCCTTCCTTCCTTCCTTCCTTCCTTCCTTCCTCCTTCTGTCCTTCCCTCTCCCTTCTTCTTCCTTCCTTTGTTTCTTCCTTCCTTTCTTTCTCTCTCTTCCTTTCTCATTCTCCTTCCTGGTGGCGCAGTGGTTAGCATGCAGTATTGCAGGCTAATCCTGCCCACAGCCAGCAGTTCGATCCTGACTGGCTCAAGGTTGACTCAGCCTTCCATCCCTCTGAGGTGGGTAAAATGAGGAGCCAGACTGTTGGGGGCAATATGCTTACTCTGTAAAACCGCTTCGAGAGGGATGTAAACTCTGTGAAGCGGTATATAAATCTTCTATTGCTTGGAAAGGAAGGAAGGAAGGAAGGAAGGAAGGAAGGAAGGAAGGAAGGAAGGAAGGAAGGAAGGAAGGAAGGAAGGAAGGCATAGTGGTGGAATGGTTAGAATGCAGTGTTTCAGGCTAACTCTGCCCACTGCTAGGAGTTCGATCAAGGTTGACTCAGCCTTCCATCCTTCCAAGGTTGGCAAAATGGGGACCCAGATTGTTGGAGGCAATAGGCTGACTCTGTAAACTGCTTAGAGAGGGCTCTAAAGCACTATAAAGCGGTATATAAGTCTATGTGTTATTGCTATTGCTAACACGGGGCAAAATTCATTTAACAACTGCCTTGCTGATCAACGGATATTCTGGACTTCCATTGTGGCTGTAAGTCGAGGACTACCTGTGACAAGTCAACACAAACCAAAAATGCATTGTGTCAAGCAGAATGATGCATTGGTTGGTTTAATTTTGAGAGAAACTCTGTTTTACACATCTGTAATGGGAGCCAAGACAAAGCATTATAATTTATGGCTGAAATTTGCACAATGTTGGCTCTTGGTTTTTTTTTATTGGTTTAGGTTTTTTTTTCTTTTTTTTGGTTTTGCTTTGTTTAACAAAACAGAGGGAGAAAACCCACATCCACACACATAGAGAGAGACACATATATAATTTAAAATGATGAAAAGGCAATAACAATAGTATAAATAATATATAAGTTCTCATGGATATATAGACATATGTCCATGATTTTTTTTTACAGTTTCAATAAAGATGGCCAGGTTTGATTGTAATCATCCATCTATAATTTACAGCTATAGATAAGTCATTCAAAAGTACCAAGTAGCATCAGGTTTAATCCACTGAGGAATTACAGCCCTAAATTTATCTTAATCACGGGAAGCACTAATTTTTGGCAATAATTAAAGCCCAGAAAAATCTACTTCTGTTGTCCAGCTGTCAATTTCCATGTAGTAGATATGTAGTTCAAAGGAATGAGTGCATCTGGAAATATTTGATCTGATTATGAAATTACCTCATTTTTAAGACAAGATGCAGAATCATAAATGAACACCTCAGCATATAAAATATTCTGAAACTGGGGGGAAAATGAATCCAAGGTTAAGCTGATGACAACCTCCAAGTAATTTCATGAAGCAGGTTATGGAAAGACTTCAGTGAATCTCAAGGTGTTCTAATTTCCTGGCCAAAGGCTGTTCATCACCCAGGAGGCTTTGACAACTTGTTGTTGTTGTTAAGTCGCTAAGTCATGTCTGACTCTTCGTGACCCCAAAGTCCAGCCTATCACTGTAATAAACTGAATTGATTGATTGAAAGTCTAGTTGCCTCTTAAAAAAGCACTTTTGGGCAATCATGACCTGGATGACTGAGAATCTCCATAGATATTCTATGGAATTGTTCAACCAGAAGGCAGAAAATAGGCTCAATTTTATGCTTTTCATTTTCTCTCTCTCCCTCATCTCTTTCTCTCTCCCATCTCTCTCTCATCTCCCTCTCTATCTCTCATCTCTCTCTCTGTCTCTGTCTCATCTCTCTCTGTCTCATCTCTCTGTCTCATCTCTCTCTACCTACATGTCTATCTTTCATCTCTATCTTATCTCTCTCTCCGTCTCATCTCTCTGTCTCATTCTCTCTCTTTCTCTCTCTCTGTCTCATCTCTCTGTCTCATCTCTCTCTCATCTCCCTCTCTACCTGTCATCTCTCTCTCTCTCATTTCTCTCTCATCTTTCATCTCTCTCTCTCTCTGTCTCATCTCTCTGTCTCATCTCTCTCTATCTATCTATGTATCTATCTTTCATCTCTCTCTGTCTCATCTGTCTCATCTCTCTGTCTCAATCTCTCTCTTTCTCTCTCTCTCTCTCTGTCTCAACTCTCTATCTCATCTCTCTTTCTCTCTCTCTTTGTCTCATCTCTCTCTCTCATCTCTCTCTCTCATCTTTCTCTCATCTCTCTCTCTGTGTCTCATCTCTCTCTGTCTCTTCTCTCTCATTTCAGGTCAAATACTTCCCAATCTGCAGCCATTTTCAAACCACAGAGAGACCCCCTCAAAGCAAAACTGCCATGCATTTGCACTGCGGGCCAACATTTCCTAACAATTGTGGTGGTGGATTTTTGTCTGTGTGTGATGTGGGAAAGAGGCCTTGCTCTGTGAGGCCTTTCTGCTTTGTTTATTTGTTTATTTTTAAAAAAAAAAAATGAGGAAAAATTGCTCAGTGAAAAAGCCCGTTTTGAAGTCTGACTTTTGATGTTGCGTGTATTCACTGGAGCATTTTCCTAGGGCTGATTTATATTTAAAAAATGTATGGAAAGATTTAAACTTTTATCTTGAATTAGTCCGTGGAACATAGTATGTAGCCGCCAAACATCTGTGTGTTCTGCGCTAACCATGCTTTGATATAAACAATCATATTTGAGTTCTCTACAAGAAGGCCATTCTTCTGTCAATTGACAAGGTGGGGCAATATTTGGTTTTCTCATCTCAGTCCTTCCATGTCTGTGAGCATCATCTACACATACCTTTTTTTTATTTCTATTTTTTGGCTCAAAAAATCTGCCTCTTGGCTATTTTGCTCTCCTGACGTCTTGCTTCCTGGCTTCCTTCCAAATCCTCAGAAGAAAAATGGGATTTGTAATAATTACTTATAAAGCTAAGCATGCGTGAAATGCTTCTGGAAGGTTCAAAAGCCCCTTCATCTCTACTTAATCCTCATCGCCCTTTTTCTCTCTCTCAAACTTGGCTGTTTTAAGAGGGGGCAGACATCAACTCCCAGAATTCCATGCCCCTTCTGGAATTCTGGGAATGGATATCTACCACATTTCTTAAAATGGCCAATTTGGGGGGGGGGGGGGAGAAGCCACTATTTCATACCAACCAAGTCTGACAGAAAATTCATTTGCAGATGTGAGGCTCAAACAGAAAAATAATCACTGCTTTGAAGCTGCTTCTATTCATGGCAAAGTTAAGATGGTATTTCTTATTTGGAAACTCAGTTTTTATTCCCAGGTTGCTGCAGATTTCACTTTTGAAGATAAGAAATCTCAGTTAATAAAGCAAATGGCATATATTTAGTAGAATAATAGAGTTGGAGGTCTTCTACTCCAAACCCTGCTCAACCAGGAGGCTCTAAGAGGCATCTTGGAGTCTTAGTGGAAAACCAGTTAAATATGAGCCAACAGTGTGCAGTGGCAGCCAAAAAAGCTAATGCAATCCTAAGTTGCATTAACAGAGGGATACAATCAAGATCAAGGGAGGTACTAACACCACTCTATAAAGCCTTAGTAAGACCACACCTGGACCAGTTTTGGTCATCACATGATAAAAAAGATGTTGAGACTCTAGAAAGAGTGCCGAGAAGAGCAACCAGGATGATGAGGGGACTGGAGGCTAAAACTTATGAAGAACGGTTGCAGGAACTGGGCCTGGCTAGTCTAGGGAAGAGAAGGACCAGGGGAGACAGGAGAGCATCTTCCAATAATTGAGGGGCTGCCACAGAGAGGAGGAAGAGGTCAAGCTATTTTCCAGGGCACCTGAAGGCCAGACAAGGAATAATGGATTGAAACTGAACGAGGAGAGATTCAACCTGGAAATAAGGAGAAATTGTCTGACAGTGAGAACAATCCACCCATGGAACAGAAGTTGCCTTCAGAAGTTGTGAGAGCTTCATCTCTGGAAGCTTTCAAGAAGAGACTGGACTTCCCTCTGTCAGAAATGGTGTAGAGTCTCCTGCTTGGGCAGGGGGTTGGACTAGATGATCTACAAGGTCCCTTCCAACTCTATTAATCTGTTAAAAACCCTATTTATTAGCATGTTAGCCACAATTGTTGCAATTTTACTCGTGAGAGGAAGAAGACTTTACATGAGACAGACAACAACCTTCTGATCGTTCCTGATCTTGGAATAATATGCATCCAGAGATCAATTCTGTTCTTGCCATTTTGAGTTTAGGCAAATTGTTAAAAACCTGGTTCTGGTTTTCTTTTTATAGGGGGAAAGGTTTTCATTTACATATACTTTTTTAAAATATATTTTCCGTCTTACGGATTGCCTTCCATTTTGGCTGTACCTTCATTTCTTTTGCAAATCATTATGGAGTCAAGAGCCCCAAAACTGGAGTATCAAATTAAATTAAATTAATAAACCAGCTCCAAAAAGAGAAAAGAAAAGAACAGAAAGAAAACCTGCATTTCTACAACATGTGATACACTTTAGTTTTTAACTTTTCTCTCTGTGTTGTGCGAAATGAACCTACTGAGTTTCTTTGATGTATAATGCACACTCGGAATATAGATTAATTCAATAACAAGATTAAACTTGTTATGTGTATGCTGTTAGTGAGTATTCCGAACACTGGGAATGGAGTAAGCGAGAGAGTTAAGGGTTTTTATTTCTAAATCTTTGCAACAATTTGTTTTATTTTTATTCCAGTCTCTTTGAGCCAGGGGTAACTATTGAAAATGTACACCATAAAAAAAACCAACAACAGTGTTTTAAACCAGAAGTGGGTTTCTATTATTGGCTTTTTCCAAACACAGCTTCTTGTATTACAGTGGAGTTCACTTTAAAATATTCCAGTAGAACTGTGGTTTGGAGGAACATCAACCAAACTCACACATCAAGAGAGATATTTGAAAAGAAAAAATAATGGTGGATATATCGTTCACACGTTTGTTGAATTCTGAATGGTATAAAGTACTTCGGTGACTCTTGAAATTTTATATCTGTCTTAACTATTTTATAGTTCATAATACTATTGTTATTACTCCCAAGAAGAGATGTTAAAATGTCTTGATCATAAACGCTCCTTCTATCCAAGTATAACAAAATAATAACCTGGATCAGAATTTTTCAAATATCCCTTGGATTCAGCGGGCCACATTAGCAGGGAGATGAAATATTCTAGCCTTAATACGATGACAACAATTGTTCAAAAATAAAAATTGTGGGTCCATTTTTTTTCTCTCTCTGCATGTTTGAATGTATGCAGGTAATTCGGTGTCTGAAAACTGGCAAGAAAACAACCATAGTGACATGGGAGCTTGTATCTTTAATTTGATCCATGGGTAGATGTTTAACTTTTTCCATTGCCTGTTTGCTTTGGCATATATTGGGCATTGTTGCCTCAACAAACAATAGGACTCATTTACTTAAAATGTAATGTACAACTAGTTGCTATATAGATTTTAATGAAGAACTGTTGGTTAATATACAGGCAGAGAAATGGTTTTTTTTTTCCAGTTCAGTTTTATTACAGGCCTAAGGCAATATACAAGCCAAATACTGAATGAAAGCCATATTACATCTATCTATCTATCTATGTATCGTACCAGCCAATTTGGTTAAGGCACCAGGCTACAAAGTGAGAGGCTGTGAGTTCTTAATCCTTCTTAACCATGAAAGCCAGCTGGGTGACTTTGAGCCAATCACCAAGAGACAGGGAGTTCTAGTCCTGCCTCCCCATCCACGTTGCTCATCTTTGCATTGAATGCAGTGAAAACTCAACTCTTCTTTTCTGCATGGTTTAAAAATGGTCTGCTTCTTCTCTATTACAGACCAGGGGACGGTGCAGAAGGTGGTGGCCCTGCCCACTAATTCATCGACAAATGGAGAGCTTATCTTAGAAGAACTGGAAGTTTTTAAGGTTGGTCTCTCTCTCTCTCAAGATTCTTCATTTTTTTTTCCTCTCATCAAAACACTTTCATCTAACAAGCAGGCAAATAGATTACTAAAAGTAGCACCAAATTAAAACACATATAAACCACTATTAAATTTTACAGTCCCATGCAGTAATGGTAGTATCTTCTGTAGGAGATGAGAAAGCTGAGCTGGAAGGCGGGGTTAAACATGTCATCAGTTTGGAATCTTTGCGCTCCCACAAAAGACCTAAGTCCAGCTTCCCATGAATTCCATTGAATCTTATCAAGCACCAGTTTAGCTTTGACCATTATTTCACCAGATTCTTGTGCATAAGTAGCAATAATAAATTCTTCAGTGCTTTGAACTCAGCATGTTTTCCTATTTCTTTGCACCTGACATCTTCCTTGTATGACAAAACATGTGTAAGGAAAAACAGCTTCCTTACAGAGCACATCAAAACTTTAACAGTTCAACTCTGAACTTCTTATGGGTTTTTTTTTTTTTTACTATTGCACTTTCATCTAAATTAGCTTGGCAAGATGGAATATTTCTTGGGGAAATGATAAAATGAAAAAAATGACTGCATTTTCTAATTACAGTGAGACATTGATATGGTAGATCTTGGCGCAATAACCAAATCTTTCCTGCAATTGCAGAAGATCACATTTCTGTGGCAATTTTTTCTCCTTGCTGTATGCCATGATGAAAATGATATGGTTTGTGCTCGTTTACCTAATTTGCATCAGAAGATCCCACCAATGAGATACATTAACCCAAAAGGATGTCATTTGCATAGTAGTTTTGTTAAAGAATACAACTCACCATGAAAACCTCTTTTCTCAGTCAACCCACATTTTAATACCAGATGTCCACTCTTTCTATGGGTCTGTTAAAAGGGAAGCTTCATCCTACTGATTTTGTGAGGTTGGGTTTCTCCAAGAGAAGAAAAGCAGAATTGCAATATTTTACACTCCGCTTTAAATCACTTGTTTTTCATTAAATTGTCAGCCTGGCTTGATATTCTCCCCCCCACCCTTCCTCTTCAAGTTATAACAGCTGCCACCAAATCTGACTTTTTCTTTGTTTATATCGTGATTACAATCTCTTGTGGTGGGATGTCAAGTATTCTGTGTGTGTTTGTGTGCCTATGTCTTAGTTGATAAGGTTTCTGAACTTTAAAAATCTTTTTTTAAAAAAAACACAGCATACTATTTTCTTTCTTATAACCCAAAAGTTTCCGATATTGGCCTCCATCAGCTGACGCTCTCAAAAAGTGATTTAGGAAGAAAAACCAGAGCAAGATTCATATTATTGTTTAACAGAATAACCGAGTTGGAAGGCACCTTGGAGATCTTCTAGTCCAACCTCCTGCTCAGGAAGGAGACCCTGTACCATTCCAGACAAATGGCTGTCCAATCTCTTCTTTAAACCTCCAGTGATGGAGCACCCATGATTTCTTGAGGGAAGTTGTTCCATTGATTAATTGTTCTAACTCTCGGGAAATTTCTTCTTAGTTCCAGGTTGCTTCTCTCCTGGATTCATTTCCATCCGTTGCTTCTTGTCCTCCCTCAGGTGCTCTCAGGAATAGCTTGAGTCCCTCTTCTTTGTGGCAGCCTCTTAGATATTGAAACACTTCCAAGACCCAATTCATGGACTTTGACAAGATATTTGGAAATCCATAGGAAATGGAGGGGGACTTGCTGATTTCCATGTGAACTGTTTGTGGAACCAGAAACATCCGTTATTTGCCAGTTTTTGCATCCAAGTTACAATTTATGCTCAGAAAAGGAGTCCCGTCGAAGCCAAGTCTGACTTTTGAAATCCTCGTTCCCATTCCCAAGCTCAGATTGGACTGCAACAGCTACAGGCTGAGTTCCTGTGCAGCAAAAAAGAAAAAGGAAATTAAAGAAAGAACCAGAAAATGACCCAAGATTCTTTCTGAGTCAAGCTGGATTTGGCCTATTTCACAACCCACTTCTACAGTTTTAAGACCCTTTGGGAGAATTATTATTTTTTTTCCCTCACAAAAATCCCATGCTCTTAGGGAGTAGGATGAAGCTACCGCAGAAAGAAAGAGAAGGAAAAATAATTTCCTTTTTAAAATAGCTACATTGCCACAGATGACAAAGACAAAGTGGGTTTAGGATGTGTTGAGGGAAACTTATAATTTTGGGGGGGTGAGAAGAGGGGATTGCCTTATTTTATAAGGCAGGGATCTCAAAATTGACAGCTTTAAGACTTATGGATTTCAACTCCCAGAATTTCTCCTCCAGTCATGTTAGCTCAGGAATTCTAGGAGTTGAAGTCCACAAGTCTTAAACTTGCCAAGTTTGAAGATCCTGGCTCTAAGGCACCAGAGGGCAGAACAAGAAGTAACAAAGGGAAGCTTGTCAAAGAGATATCCAACCTAGAAGTAGAGATAATTTTTCTGACATTAATGTCATGGTTCTGACTAATGAACCCAAGCAAATCAGAACCCTGAGGCTAAAGTCTTCCTCAAAGAACTTCTTTGTATCTAATATTACATGTGTTAACAGCGGCCAGAATTGTATTTGCACAACATTGGAAAGGTGTGGAGATCCCTACAGAAGAGAAGACAATTTTTTTTAAAAAAAAAATACTAGAATGTGCAGAAATGGATAGATTAACAATTGAAATTAAAGAGAAGGAAGATACAGAATATTTTGAAACAGGGGATTCGTTTTATCAATTCTTTATTGGATACATCATATTGGCATGTTCAAAAGCAAGACCAATCCTAAATGTTTCCTATGGCTTCAGTATCATTAAAATAAGAAATAATTCCCTCCCCAACAGCCTCAGGTCACGTTGGCCAATTAGGTTAATTGGGGGGCTCTCCAGGCACCCCTCCCCGGTTCTATCCATCACCTGTAGAAATTACCTTGGTTCTCAGGAGAAAGATCTGTGTTTTGTCTAGCAAAGCATTCCGTCCTCCTTCCTGCTCCCCGCTCTGTGTGGCAACCGAGGAATAGAAAAATGGCTTCTGATAGGTTTGATTCGAAGTTGACAGTTAATCAACAGAATAACTTGCCTCCAAGGGTTGTGGGGGCTCCATCCATGGAGGTTTTCAGACGTAGACTGGATGGCCATTCGACTAGGATGATATAAGGCCTCCTACTTCGGGCAGGGGTTTGGACTAAAACAGGGGTCCCCAACCCTCACTCTGTGGCCTGATATTAGTCCATGGCCCATTGGGAACTAAGTTGTGCAGGTGGCAGGCAAGTGTTTGAAGCACCATTGGCGAAACCATCTCCTTTTGACCCTCTCATCACTGCCACTGGTCCACAGAGCTGGAAAGGGTTGGGGACAGGGGTGCGATTCAACCGGTATAATAACCGGTTGGGTGAGCATGTGCTCCACATTTTAAAAAGCTAATACTTGCCTTCAAACACAGCTGAAGAAAACAGCCGAGGCACGGAAAACCACTCTGCTGCATGAATCAGCTATTTATTTTATTTATTTATTTTTATTTATTTGATTTGCCAATTGTTTACAAGATAATAAGTATAAGTGTATACATAGTTGTGAATACATGAAATGGGTACATATAAGAAAAATAAAAGAAGAATAAGAGAAACAATAGGACAGGGACGGTAGGCACGTTGGTGCGCTTATGCACGCCCCCTATGCTCTAAGGAAAGACCAGGGGCAGGCGGGCTGGCCCACATGCTCGTCGGAGTGAACTGTTTTGGAGCAGAGGTGGTATTCAGCCAGTTCTGACCGGTTCTGGAGAACCGGTAGCGGAAATTTTGAGTAGTTCAGAGAACCAGAAAATCCCACCTCTGACTGGCCCTGCCCCTATCTATTCTCCACCTCCCAAGTCCCAGCTGATTGGCTGGGTCTTCTTTTGTTGTCCTGCACAGGAGAACAGAGCTGGAAAGCAGGTTAGTGGGGTGTGGAGGGAATGGAGATTGTGCAGTAGCCTTCCCCCAGGAGTGAGGAAGTAGTTTTTACAGTATCCTTCCCCTGCCACGCCCACCAAGCTATGCCCACAGAACCAGTAGTAAAAAGTTTGAATCCCACCACTGGTTCTGAGCCAGCTGATTGTTGGAACAAGGGCTTCACCCGAACCAGTCCGAACCAGGAGAATCCCACCCCTGGTTGGGGACCGCTGAACTAGGAGAACTTCGAGATCCTTTCCAACCCTATGATTCAAAAATGGGACAAGTGCTGAAGACAGTGGGAGAGGGACCCTGGAAATCACACTATAGCTTGATTATCATTCAGTGTGTGAGGAATTGGTGGTTTGGAAGTTCTTTCCGGGGGGGGGGGGAAGAATTCTGGAGAACTCCTTTGACATTTTCTGTCAAGCCTTCTGAAAGCTCTCCAAGAGATGACTTGGAGAGCATTTCAGAGTGTTTGGCTGTCTTCCTCTGTCTCTTTCTCGTATCCTTATTTGCTCTCTGCTTTGCAGCTCTTTTTCATCTGCGTCTCCCCTTCTAAATGCACAATGAAAATTCAGCCACGAGTGTGATGGAGCAAAAGGATAAAACACCTGAGAGAGAGAAAAAATGAATGGGGATTTCTCTGGTCCATGTTCAGGGAATAAATTTGCAACAGAATGTCATTTCTGATTTGATGTTATATCAGTCACTCAGGATTCCTGACTTCCAGGTGGACTGAGAAACCTTTAGCATGCTCTGCTTGCAATTTCTTACATACTCCATATGGTAAAATATATACAGCACTTAACAATAGCACTTAGACTTATATACCTCTTCACAGTGTTTTACAGCCCTCTCTAAGCAGTTTACAGAGTCAGCCTGTTGCCCCCCAACAATCTGGGTTCTCATTTTACCCACCTCGGAAGGAGGGAAGGCTGAGCTGGTCAGGATTGAATTCCTGGTCATGGGCAGAATTAACCTGCAATCCTGCATTCTAACTATTGCTCCACCAGGAAGAAGAATGAGAAAGGGAATAAACGAGGGAGGGAGGGCGGGAGGGAGGGAGGGAGGAAGGAAGGGAAATAGCTCTTAGAGTTATTTTCTGGTTTACAGTGCCTTCCAACTCTCTATAAGTGGCTTAGAGAATCAGCCTATTGCCCCCTGGGTCCTCATTTTACTGACCTCGGAAGGACGGAAGGCTGAGTCAACCTTGAGCCAGCCAGGATTGAACTCCTGGCAGTGGGTAGAGTTAGCCTGCAATCCTGTATTCTAACCACTGCCCCACCAGGAAGAAGAATGAGGAAGGGAATAAAAGAGGGAGGGAGGGAGGGAGGGAGGGAGGGAGGAAGGAAGGAAGGAAGGAAGGAAGGAAGGAAGGAAGGAAGGAAGG